TGCTGCCTGGAGACAGAGACCGACCCCCACCTGACTACAGCCACCTTTCAGGGAGTTGTAGAGAGTGATAAGGTCACCCCTGAGTCTCCTTTTCTCCAGGCTAAGCACCCCCAGCTCCCTCAGTCGTTCCTCACAGGGTTTGTGTTCCAAGCCCCTCACCAGCCTCGGTGCCTCCTCTGGATGTGCTCAGGTGTCTCAGGGTCCTTCCCAAACTGAGGGGCCAGAACTGGACACAGCACTCCAGGTGAGGCCTCACCAGTGCTGAGTACAGGGGAAGGATGAGCTCCCTGCTCCTGCTGGCCACACCATTCCTGACACAGGCCAGGATGCCCTTGGCCTTCTTGGCCACCAGGGCACACTGCTGGCTCATGTTCAGCCGGCTGTACACCAGCACCCTCAGGTCCTTTTCCATCTCAGCACTGTTCAACCACACCATCCTCAGCCTATAACACTGCAGGGGGTTATTGTGGCCAAAATGCAGGAATCAGCACTTGGACTTATTAAACTTCATCTTATTGGACTGTGCCCATCCATCCAACCATTCCAGGTCTCTCTGCAGAGCCCTCCTACCTTCCAACAGATCAACATAGGATCCCAGCTTAGTGTCATCTGCACATTTACAATGAAAGACTCAATCCCTCATGCATGTTGTCAATAAAGATATTGAACAGAGCTGGCACCATCACAGACCCAGAGGGACACCACTGGTGGCTGGCCCCAGCTGGATGCAGCACTGTTCACCAGCACTCGCTGGGCTTGGCCATCCAGCCAGTTCCTAACCCAGCAAGGAGTGCTCCTGTCCCAGCTGTGGGCTGCAGCTTTTCCAGGAGTGTGCTGTGGGAGGCAGTGTCAAAGGCCTTGCTGAAGTCCAGGTACACAACATCAACAGCATTTCCTGCATACCCCAGGCAGGTCACCTGGTCATAAAAGGAGATCAGGTTGGTCAAACATAACCTACCCCTCCTAAACCCATGATGGCTGGGTCTGATACCGTGGCCATCCTGTAGTGTGTCATCCTGCGTGATGACAGTATAAACTGTTTCATAACCTTACCGGGTACTGAGGTCAGGCTAACTGGCCTATAATTAACAGGATCCTCCTTCCTACCCTTTTTGTGAATGTGCTGCACATTGGCAAGCTTCCAGTTATCTTGAACCTCACCAGTGAGCCAAGACTGCTGGTAAATGATGAAGAGCAGCTTCACAAGCTCATCTGCCAGCTCCCTCATCACCCTGAGATGGATCCCATCTGGTCCCATGGATTTATGAACATCCAAGTGGCTCAGCAGGTCTCTGACTGCCTCCTCCTGGATAACAGGGGGACCATTCTTCTCCCTGACACCATCTGCCAGCCCAGGAAGAGGGCTGGCCTGAGGACAAGCTGTCTTTTCACTAGAGAGTCAGGCAAAGAAGGTGTTAAGCACTTCTACCTTCTCCTCATCTGCAGTTACTAAGTTCCCTCCCATCCAGTAGAGAGCTGAGGTTGGTCTTGCTCTTCCTTTTGCCATTAATATATTTGTAAAAGAAAATTTATTATCCTCTACAAAAGTTGCCAACTGAAGTTCCAACCAAGATTTGGCCTCTAGTTTTTTTCCTACATGCCCTAGCAACACCCTTAAATATTTCCTGAGACACCTGACCCTTCTTCCAAAGATGATACATCCTCTTTTCATTTCTAAGTTCCTTCAAAACCTCATTGCCTATCCAATGGGCAATGGATGGATGTTTGCCTTGTCAACTCATCTTTCAGCACACAGCGACAATCTGTTCCTGTGCCATTAATATCTCTGTTTTAAAGTACACCCACCTTTCCTGAACTCCTTTGTTTCCAAGGGCTCCTTCCCAAGTCTCCTAAATAGGCCAAAGTCTGCCCTCTGGAAGTTCAGTGTAAGAGTCTTATTGATATTCCTCCTGATTTCACCAAACATCAAGAACTCCAACCACCACATCTCCCACCAGCCCATCTCTATTTGAAAAGAAAATGTCTAACACAGTCCCTCCTCTGGTGAGCTCATTGTGACAAAGCTGTCACACACGCTCTAAGAACCTCCTGGACTGCCTCTTTCCTGCTGTATTAAGTTCCCAGAAGATGCCTGGCTGGTTAAAGTTACCTACAAGAACAAGGGCTGGTGATCCTGGTGATGCAGAAGAAAGGGAGGTTTTAAAGAGAGCAGTGTCACTGCTGATGGAGAGATCCCAGGAAAACGTTGCAGTATTCCAGCTGTGTAAACCACAGCTACTGTGGTTTTTCATGGTAAATAACAGAAAGGGTACTGCAGACATGTCAATAAACTTGGATATTCATTCAGGGGTAAATACTTGGAACAACAATACAGTAGTTGCAAGGGCAGCAGAAAAATGTGTTTCTTACTACAATAATTGGGCAACACTGCCTTAAGTGCTTATAACACCCTGAAAAGAAATAGAGATTGCTACTGGGAAAACATCAGTCATCTTTGAAAAGAAGTGCTGTTATGCTTTTTTTACTTTATGTCAAAAACTTCTGTCCCCTGAACTGAGAAAGCGACCTCTTCTTGAAGACACTGCGCTCACTTTAAACCTGGGGGTTATAGTCTTCTGTCAATCACTTCTTCCATCACTAGAGCAATGAATTTCTACAATAACCTTGTACTTGAGAACAATCCTTTCTCTGGGTTTCACAAGATTGCATTTTATCTTGAGTCATCATGGTGTATCTAGTATCCAGAAGAGGTTCTGTGCTTTGTATTTCCTTGACTCAGAGCACAAAGCACCTGAAGTTCTGCAGAGCCCCAGCTCACACACAAAGCTTGTTGCAAACCAACCAGCTGAACAAAACACCCTTTGCCATTACCAGTATAGCAGTAAACCATGAATATTCAAGAATTATTGCCCTGGTTTTATAAATTAACTCCATCACAGGTTTTCCATGTACTGTTGCATATGTGCTCTTCACTTCTGTCCCTTCTGGCTATATTCTGCAAATAGCTATCCCAAAAGCTCTCGTGGTTTTAGCAAACAGGCTGTCAGCATTAACCTGATGAAAGAGCTCATTGATTCAGGAGAAGGGGCGTTTGCTCCAACACACGGTGTTGTCTGCTGACACTTGAAACATGGGGCTACCAGGAAAAACCACATAAAAACAGTGACAGAAGAGAAAAACAAGTTCTGGTTCACATTTGCATGGGAGTTGAGCTGGGACCCAGCTTCCTATGGAAGTGCTTCCATGACAGGGATTGGGAAGGTGCTGCTGCCTCCCGCTCTCTCTCTCTGTGGGAAGATGTGGCTCCTGCAGAGAGCAAGAGGCACCTGGGGGGGAGGTGTTGTTTGACTTTGACACTGCCACTTGAACTGGGATAACAGAATCATAGAATGGTTTGGGTTGGGAGCAACATTAAAGATTATCTCATTCCAAACCCTCCTCACCATAAGCAAGGACACTTTCCCAAAGACCAGGTTGTTCAGACAGCTCCATCCAACTAAACTAAACTTCTTTCAGTTTGAAGTCCTTATCCTTTGTCCTATCACTTCATGCTCTTGGAACAAGTCCTCGCAAAAATGATGAGCAGAGATGCCTGAGCTTTAGCTCAGAGGTGCTGGGGGATGAAGGATGGTAGGGGAAAAGCTTTGAGTGCAGATTCAAGTGATTATTCTCAGAAGAGGAAAGATGTGTGGGGCAAACAGGAGCGATTTCCTGAAGCAGCACTCAGGCTGGGGCTGGGACATTTCTGAGGGACCAGGCCACTCTGGTGATTCTTCTGCATTTTACAGGGAGTGATGAAGCCAGCCATGGGGTCTGGTCCCACCTCCAAGATCTGCTGTGCCTGTTTGTTCCACACCTCACAGGGAGCTGCCACTGCACAGCTCCCCCACCATGCACTCATAGCTATGTGTACATATACACATACATATTCAATGTACATATTTATATACAACTGCAATATATAGAGTATTCACTCTGTGTGTGTGTGTATTCATCTGCAACTCATCTGGAACTGATCCTTCTATCATGGAGCCAAGGCCCCAACACCTGCCAGATTTCTCACAAGTAGCTTACAGAGGGAGCCTGGCTCTCCCTTGCTCTCTGCTGGCACATGTTCAGCAGGAGGTGAGATGCTCATTATGGTCTCCTGAGTGCTGTGGGTCTCTGCTGCGAGGGAAGAGAGAGGGGTTTGTGTCTTAGCATGGGTAAGGAATTCATTAGGAATTCATCTGGGGTGTTTCTGGCATCTGCAGGGGAAGGAACTGATAGAAGATTAATTCACCAAGGAAGGGTTAAGTCCAAATTAGGAAAAGGCAAGAGTAAGTTGGGCACCATTGGAGTTATGGAACTGCTGAGCAAGGGCTCTTTGTGAGTTTGGCCTTTGGCTCCTGAGTTCTTACAATAAACTAAAACTGTCCATATGTATAAAAAAAAAAAATCCAAATTTCCAAATTATTTTTTAAAGCTAATCAGCTAAAATGCATTGTGATTTTCTGTGGGTTTGGGCAGTGGGAGGAAGCGAGGCAGAGAAAATCTTGAACTAAGTCACCTTTGGTTGATTCTGTTTAGTTTTTCCATCAGGACAATCTCTCCATTTCCATGCACTGTTACAAGGCTCTGACAAACTGGATTTATATTGAGAGCAATGCGAAATGACACGCTACAGCCATTTTCAATTTTTGTTAAACTCTCCTGTCAGAAAAGCCTGCACAAACCGCTGAAAGGTCTTTACCAGTCTCCCCGGATCGATTGTGCGCAGCTCCAATAAAGAAGCGCGGCTGGGAGGTGGCGGTGCAGACGGGATGCAGTCCTGCCCTGGGATGCTGTCCTGCCCTGGGATGCGGTCCTGCCCTGGGATGCGGTCCTGCCCTGGGATGCTGTCCTGCCCTGGGATGCGGTCCTGCCCTGGGATGCGGAGCCCCCGGCACCCCCGTGCTGCGCTGCCGCCCCTCCCGCCCGGCGGGACGCGCCCTTCCTCCGCTCCGCTCCGCTCCGCTCCTCCGTCCCGCCCTCCGCCTCCATCCTCTCCGTCTCCTCCCGCACAGGTGGGACTCCTCTCTCCTCTCCTCGCCGCTCCTGCCGCGATGCCGCCGCCGTGTCCCCGCGGGGCCCTGCCCGGGGCCTCCCTCCTCCTCCTCCTCTTCCTCCTCTTGCCGCTGCTCTGCGCGGCCCCCGGTGAGTGAGCGCGGCGTGCGGGATGCGGGACGCGGGGAAAGCATAACCCGGCACGGCCTGGGCAGCGGGAAAACCTTCCCTTGGCATCCCGCGTGGTGAGAGCCTTCGGACGCTGCAAGCCTGTGCGAGTTAGCCATCTTTATAAAAGGTGCTTGTTTGCCAGTGACGGGAGCGTTTCGGAACAGCCGAGCGCTTGCAGGTCTCCCGTTGCGCCGCCGGTCTGGGGACCAGCAGCATGACTGCTTCGATGTGCTCTGGGGCAGGATGCCAGGCACAATTTTGGAGCAGTCTGATAGTTAGCACAGCCCTCACCCAGTGACTAGGGGTTTTCAGTGTCATCATGCTGCTCTGGGTGCTGGTACTGGCACCAGCTGCAGTTTTCTGATGAAAAATATAATAATTTACTTGGTGAAGAAGGCCATTATAGTGTTTCCCTTGCCAAGTGAGCTGGAGAAAAGATGCTGGAGTGCAGTGTATATTGCACTCAAATGTGGAAAGGGGAGCAAACAGAGTAAGTTTCTTCTGGGAGAAACTTGTCTACTTTGCCTCTTGAACTGGAGTTATGACATAAATACTTCTAGCAATTTTTGAGAAATAATTTTATGTTGTTTTTGTTATTTCCTTCTCAGTAAATGTATGTGTTTTATTTTTGTCTAGATGTTTCAAGGGTAAATAAGCTTAAACTGATGCTCCAGAAACGAGAAGGTAAGTAAAGAGTCAGCAAAGTGCTTTCCCTTGTTTTTTCTTGGAGTCAGTTGCTGTCAGTTAAGGCTGTCGATGAGCTGTCCCTGCACCTCCAGCTCCAGGAAAGCAGATAGAGCAGGAGGCTACAAGCACAGGGCCACACCAAAACCTCCTGCTCAGGCAGAGCCTCTGCCTGTGTGCCTGTTTGGGCTGTTGGGCTGGAGGCTCTGCTTAGCACAGCTCCCTCTGAAATCCGGGGTTCCCAGCCTCAGGCAGCACGCCTGCCTTCTGCTCTGCACAGAGCACAGCACCGACCTTTTCCCATGTATGCATGGCAGACGTGGCATTTATCTATTTGGGGAAGTCACAAAGTTTTCCAAGGAATGCATGGAAATATTGCTGGCTCAGGCACAGGGAAGAATATGTGCAAACCTGGCTTGCCTATGATGCCTTGACTTGTTCTTTTTGTCTTCTTGGCCCCACATGTGCTTCCTTTTTGGAAGACTGCTCTCTTACAGGAGAGATGATGGCCAAAGGCCCAGCAGTCAGAAGCATGGATTGGCTTGCTGGTTGAGGGAAGATGGTGGAAATGATCCAGCTGGGAACAAGCTGCACCACAGCAGATGAAACATCCCAGAAGTTTTGGCCACCTCCCCTCAGTCTGGTCTTTGGCTGAAGCAAAGAATTTGTACCTCCACAGAGTGGATTTCCACTTCCTGCCAGGCTTTCTAATTTTGTACTGGGTTTTTTTTCTGGCATCACTACACACCCCTTACCAAAACTAAAATATATATCCCACCCACCTCTGTTTTCCTTCTGTGTGGGTTCCTTATGTTACCATTCTGCAGTGTTTGTGTGAAGCTAGGAGTGACTCCCCTGCACCACAGCAGTGGCCACTTGTTTGTTCAGGTCCCCTGGGGAGAGGGACTGCCTGGGGAGGGCTCTTGGGGCATGCAGACAACATGGCTTAGATCAGGAAGAACTGCAAAATTGATCATGGAAGGAATATGCAGCCTCTTTAATTCCAGCCTTGCTCCCCTTTTCTGGTTGGTTTCTAAAGTGAGCAGGCCAAGTGCACAGTACTGCTTCCCTTGCTGGCAGTGCCTTTGTGTGAGGGCTCATTCATGGACATTTGCTTAGCTCCCAGCAATAACACCCAGTTCAAGCTCATAGTGAGTTATCAGTTTCCAGCTCATCATTGCAGGACTTTTCCCCTGTTACTGCAACAACTCGTCTATCACTTTTATCTTCAGAATCTCCTTTTATACTGTAGTCCTTTGCCTTCCTCCATGAGTCTGCTCACTCCTGCTTCAGTGGTTTTCTTCACATCTCCACTTGACTTTCCTGTCTACCCCAGTCTCTTCCCTCACATCCTCCAAAAATCCCATGCACACCCATGTTCCTGATTTCTCCCTCATTGAAATGAACCATCTGAAGACAAGACTTCTCCTACTCCTACCCCAATTTCCACCCCACAGCTATTTCTTGTTTCACTGCCAAATCAATACCATGTTTTATCATATCCGTGTGTGGCCAGGGACTGGCCAGTCACAGAATCACAGAACTGTTAGATCAGAAAAGATCTCTAAGTTTAAGTCCAACCATTAACCCAGCAGAGCCATGCTCACCACTAAACCATGTCCCTGAAAAACCATGTGTTTTTTGAACTCTTCCAGGGATGGCAATTCCCACCACTTCCCTAGGCAGTTTGTTCCAAAGCTTGACCACTCTTTAAGTGAAGGACTTTTTCCTAACATCCAATCTAAAACTTCTGTGGCACAACTTGAGGCCATTTCTTCTTATCTTGCTTAGTCCTCTCATCCATGTCTTTGGGAGGTACATCAATTCCTCTAGCAGCCACAGCACACTGCTCTTAGGCATGGAGCAAGCCAGATGGCACATCTGGGTCTGGCAGGTTGAGGGCATTTCCATGCATCCCTCATGTAGGTTACTATGAAAGCCCTAGGGGCTTTTATTTTCAGGCATGCAGGGCATTGAGTAGTACTCATCTAAATGTTACTTTTTTGCATATCAGACTCAAAAATCTATCTTTTTAAATGTTTTTCCCTTCACTCTAATATGTTAGCAGTGTTTCTCCAGCCTCCTTAGTAATTTTAACTCACCTCTCTTTTTCAACCCAATTTCTGCAACTGTAGCACTTAGGGTCAGTCTCCTCTCCTGAAAGCACAAACACATAGCTTATATAATACATATACAAATGCATAGTGTACATAGTGTAAAGATCACTGAGTTTGGGTGTTTTTATTTAAATTCCTCAGCTCGGTGCTGTACTTAAGCTCAGAAATGCTTTACAAGAATCCAGGAGAATGAGAGTAGTAGAGAAATCCTATTACATCAGTGATTCTTGGGTTTATTATTGTTACTCTGCTACAGGCGTTGCACTGACAAGCACAAAGGTAATGGCATGATGTGAGAATCATTTTCTTACTTGCTGCAAGCAGTACACTTCAGACTGACCAAAAATTTCCTGGCATGCCTTTTGTGGGGGGGATTAATTTCAGCCTCTGCTGCTGCGGCGAAGCCTGAGGTGTCAGTGAAAGAAACGGCAGCCAAGGAGTTCCTGAGCAGCCTGAGACGCCAGCGGCGCCAGCTGTGGGACAGGAGCCAGCCCGATGTGCAGCAGTGGTACCAGCAGTTCCTGTACCTGGGCTTCGATGAGCAGGTCAGTGTAAGAAATGGAGAGGCCTCCTAACAAAAGAGGGAGAATAGACAGGGATAGAACAAAGAGAATTGGTCTTAAATGAAAAAAAAAAAAAAGAGATTTAGATTAGATACTAGGAATAAATTCTTTACTGTGAGGGTGGTGAGGCACTAGAACAAGTTGCCCAGAGAAGTGGTTGATGCCTCATTCCTCTAAGTGTTGAGGGCCAGGTTTGATGGGACGTTGAGCAACCTGGTCTAGTAGAAGGTGTCCCTGCCCAAATTTCTTTTTTAAAGTGGCAAATGTCACACAGAAATATAACCTCTGTTACATGTTAGAGATTCTTGCATTATTTTATTAGTAGAAAAAAATTACATTAAGGTCTTGTATGGTGTTCCTGCCTACTGTCAAACTTAAGCTTAATAATTGTAACTGGACATATGAATGAAGTTTGCTTTGTGGAATAGGTGGCCAGACTCAAAGCAATCAATCGTATTTCAGGAAAGTAATTTCCTCTCAGCCTCAACCTGATCAGCTTTTAAACATGCTGAGAAATCCACACCAAGCTGGCTGTGACTGCCACTCCCCAGTGAAAAGAGCACTGACATTATGCACCCAATGCACTGTGCCTCCACGGCATGGGCAGCTCCTGACCATCACAAACACTGGCAGCTGTGCCTCCACTCTATGTGTGAAAGGAAAACCTTTGGATAATATTCAGTTAGCCTCCCTTCAAATGAGGAGGACACATTTTTTAAAAACACTTTATTTGTAAAAACCCTGGAGTGGAATCAAACCCTGCAGAAAGCTCTTCTAAATAGATGCTGGAATAAGGCAAAAAAAAGTGTGTTTGGTAGCAGTCCCACATGTAGAATAATTTCTGCTTTTAATAAGAGGTAAAAATAGTTATAGATGTTGAATTCTTGGCTTCTGTCAGCTGTATGAATATGTTTAATGAGATTGCATTGGCACAGGGAAGCTGGAGTACATTTTAAAGCTTCATGCTATGTGGATTGCTTGGAAGATGAATGCACTAATTTTCAAAGCTGCAACAATTAGAAAAATAATCCTTTGCTTGAGCTGAAATAATGAAGGTTAGTTTTTTCTAAATTCTCCTGGATATTATGTGGATAAAAGTCACTTCTCAACAGCATAGCTATATCCCCCTTCACTAATAGAAATAGGAAAAATAGGAAAAGAGATTTTATATGCCAGAAGCTGGAGACTGGGGGAAAATGCCAAAAGGAACAAGGACAAACCATGCAGATAAAGTGAATTCTCCTCTGAACTCCTGTATACATTTAAAAAACCAAAATGAGACCTGTTGTGGGATACAATGAATCCACTTAATAGATTTTCTTGAGTATTAACACACAGTCTTAACAATGAAATAACTGTTTGTTCCAGCAAAGGACTTGGTCCATACTTAACCATTGTGTATTTGCAAAACTTCCCCCCCCCCCCCCCCCCCCCCCCCAAATCTCAGCCAAAAATATTTCCAAAGAGTCATTCAGATGGAAAGGCTTTGACTTGGCAAGTATTTGATATCCTTGCACACTATTTTTCCTCTGCTGTTCTGAGCAGAATTGAAGTGTCTATTGCATTTCCATAGCTGGAAGGCTGCATTATACCTCTGTTTTTACCTGTGCAAGGTGGGAGAAAGAGAAAGCAAAAGGCTTTTGCCCCTAGTCAGGGACATTGCAACTAAAGGCACAAGGCAAGGGAGAGTTAAACCTTTAGATTTTTAACTGTAAAATATTGATATAATTTTACTGTCCACCATTGACAAGATAATGGAAATTTTAAAGGTGTTTAGAGCACATTCCAGATGAAGGCACTCTCAGTTTAAGCACTTTGCAGTGGGCAGGGGGTGTGGGGCTATGTCCAGGGTGTGGCTGGGCAGGACAATTCCTGCACACATGATCCTGATAATCCCATAGGTACAAGTCACAAAACTCCAAAGACCTAAAGATTTTATTTATGACAAATGTGCAAAGGATGTGAATTTCTGAAAGAGGCTCTTACATCACTTCTGTTTCATCTCATCACTGTAGTCTCAGGCTGGAAAGCAAATGCTCTCTTTTTTTCTGGCAGAAATTTGAAGATGACATCTCCTACTGGACAAACCTGGGGCGTGCTCGTAATGAATACTACGGGGGGTACTACCAGCACCACTACGATGAGGATTCTCCAATTGGCCCACGAAACCCACACACCTTCAGGCACGGGGCAGGCGTCAACTACGACGATTACTAATGCCATTTATCCTGCTGTTCCTGGGCCTGTAGGGCTGCACTGGGTGAGGCTGAGCCCTCCCTCAGTCAGAACGACTCTCCTTTTTCTTCTATTCATGTCAAACAGCAAGAGTAAAGGAACTGCCAGACTTTGATGAAAGCAACATGATATTTTTAAACTATCATTACTTAGTAGTACACTATATATATAAAGTGTTATAGAAATAAAGCTTTTTTGATAATCAGGTTGTCATTATTTAGTAGTTTTCATAACAGCAAGTTTAATTCCAACTGTATTAATACAGATTCCTTTTTAAAGGGCTTTTTCCTCTTGCTATCCTACCATCAATTGCAAAATTACATTACATCATCTACTTTGGCATACAGAATACATAACATTAGCTAGTACATTTAAGATGTGCCTTCCCACTTACATATATATTAACAAATAAATCCAATTATTCTTGGGAGAAAAGAAAAAAAAGGTTTCCTGGTAATTGAAGTGCTGCTTTGTTGCCTTCTCTGCCGTTTCCATACCTACAGCATGCAGCCCTCCAAGCCTGACTTGGCACTTCTGCAGCTCCTGTTGGGTCAAGGACACAGATATTCACAAAAGCTAAATTCAGTGCAGACAAGCTTGCCTACCTACAAAGCCTGTGAAAGGATCCTCCAGGGAAAAGGCTCAAGGCAGGAACTTGACTTCAGCAGTAATTGCTGAGGCACAGAGCATCCAACCTGAGCGGCCCCAACCCCTCCCATGCACAATAACCCAAAGGTTATCTCTGCTGAATACTCCCCTTCGTGTCCATCCCACTTAGCATCAAGCTTTCAGCCTAGCTCAAACTAGGGAATAAAACAACAAAGTAAGCTATTTAAAATTAAGTTAGTGTCAGACAGCATCCAACGCAATCCCTTGACATCATAATTTCAGACTGCAAAATTCCCTCTACCCCAGTTCAGACTGAAACATGCACATTAGGCTGAGCATCAAAATTATGACAGAGACCAGGCATCTGTTAGTGAAACACAGTGGGTTGAAGGGGGATTGTTGATTGCACCATGTATGTTAAGAATCCCTAAACACAACCAATTTTTGTATCCCAGCAACATCAGCCTGGGAGGGAGATGTCAGGGATTGTTCAGCTGTCAGGGGCTTCAGGAGAAGCTGGGCAGAGGAAAGCACTGCTTGCACTTGACAAATGTAGAGGACTGGGAAGGGGCAGGTGAGGAAGGTTGCCTTCTCTGACTTCTGGAACTGAAGAATCAGAATAAAGAAAGATTAAATGTGTTCTACCAACTGTAGAAGACAGCAAAGATGCTTTAGCTGTCTCTCATCTAAAGCTTACAAGAAATTTCCAAAGCATGGATAATGGCAACACCATTCTTTATGCTTCACTACTTTCTTAACTCTGAGTGTATTTCCTAATCTTTTGCTTAAAGCCCTTGTTGTGTGGTGGACTGATGTCTGTGAGATGCAGACAACACTACACAGCTCCCTGCAGGAACACTTCCCAGGAGACAGCTCTTTGCTGATGGAGACAAACTGAACATGTTGGTCACTTCTCTGCACACACAGATCCACTCTGGCCTAATATGCTCCAAACCCTCAGCCTTTCCTAGGCTTAATCTCAGCAGAATCCTTAAGCCAATTTAACTGGTTTAAACTAGTGTGTTTCCAGAATCCTTGCCAGTTTAACTAGTTTAAACTGGTGCATTTCCTTGGTAGAAGAGCCTTTATTCCAAATACGAAATAATCACATTCTGAGGCAAGCACAGACTCTTCTGAACAGTTGGGAAACACCTATTCCTAGAAGAATACTTTCATTTTGTGTATTATCCAAAAAGTGCACTGAATTTGGCAACGTTTGAACCATGTTGGTAATTTCCATCATTTCCCAGAATTTCCAATTGGGAATTCAGACCCGCGGAATAAGGAAGAATTAAAAAAAGTGCTGTAAATAAAGACCATCGCTCCCTAGGCCTTTGTAAATTCTGTCCATTCCTGCAGGATGACTCAGTCTTACAGCTTGCTGTGCCTTGCAGGCTCACAACCAAATCTACGGTCTTTGTCTTCTGAATTCTCTAAGAAGAGAAAAAAAATCTTTTCCATTATATTGTGTTGCAGGGTTAAGGAGTGGGACAGTTGCCTTTCTACATAACAACACATATGACATGATTTAGATTTGTGACTAAACCAGTGTAGGCAGAACACAAATGTTTATGCTTTTGGTTTCCACACCGTCTTCCAGCATGAAGGCTAGGAGTGGGTGAGAGGCTGGGAGGGTACATGGTGAGAGAGTTGACCCAAACTGGACAATTCCAAATGATGTAATGACTTGTTCAACACTAAAACCTGTGAAGATGAAGAAGAAGAGGGTGGGAGTTTTGCCTTCTATGGAAGCCGTTTCTCAGAGATTGTGTGAGCACCAGGCTTGCTTGGGAGAGATGGTGAGTGGCCTTTGCATCACTTGGGTTTTCTTCTTTACTTCACTCATTAAACTGCTCTTGCCTCAGCCTTTACAAGTACTCATCTGATTGTCTACAACTCTCCCTTTGGGGCAGGCAGAGAAAGTAGCTGAGAGGGCTCTTTGCTGCTGCCTGGGGTTGTTCACCACAAAGCAATAGCTCTGAGGTGAGGGCAGCCCCCTTCCTGCTTAAAACAGCTCTCTCTGCAGTGGGGTGGACAGAGCCCAGATCGCTGTGCATGGCTTTGATACCACTTAAGGCCCCTCTTCCCTGTGACTTTGTGCTTTGGACCTTCCAGCTGTTTCAGCCATGGCAGGGAGCAGAGTATTCAGAGGATGCTGCTCCTTGCTGAAGAGCATGTCAGCATCTAGGGAAAACACTGCAAGAATAAACAAGCTAGTGCCTGTCCCAGGCTGTACATGGCAACAAACCAAGATGCATAAAGACTTGTCAGAACTGCTATTATGAAATACGCAAGAGAAGGACAGAGATGAGAAACAGAGAACCAAAATTTGGGGTTTTTTTTGCAAGAAATATGAATTGTTATTTTAGGAAAGCCTCCCTGTTAATTCAGAATTGCATTCAGGAGCCTCCTGCCACATAGAAAAGAGCCCTGTTTTGCTTCAGAACTATTGCTGCTCTTCATGGTAGCTCTATGGAGTCAAGAACTGCAAGTCAGGTATTCCCTTCTGCCACCTGAAATCCCCACACAGGGAAATGCCCTTAACAGAGGAACTATGGATTTGTGGCAGCTATAATCCCAGCAACTTCAGGGAAGGGCTGTATGGTTGTTAGGCTAGCAGTGTTGAGTACACAGTTCCCTTGCTGTTAACAAAGTACCTTCTCCTGTGGACCGGCCCCTAACAACCCTCAGAGATTTCCTGGCCTCAAGTAGCATTAAACTCAATACTAGTAAGGCTGGGGACTGGCTCAATCCATCAAACTAATCGAAGCCTTGTTTTGCCCTCTGTAGCCTGTTCTCTAAGGCAATTATGCCTCTTTCAGCTTTGAAACTCAATTCAAATCTTGGCAAAAAGTGAAGGTTTTTTTCCCCAATATATTACGTTTCTAAAAATTTATTGAAAAAAATAGATTAAGACACATAAATACCCAGATGGCAGTGAACTCACTGGCTACTAAACCCACTACTCTATATAGGGTAAGGGAAGCTGCAAACACCTTAGACACAGAAAGTACAGATCATTATTTCCCCGTATAGCAAAAAATTAGGCATGAGGCTTCTCTAGGTTACATATTCATGGAACTATTTAAAACAAATTAGGTCTGTGTACCCCTCTGTAGCTTGTCTGTAGACTAGCAATGTGGCTGACAATACTCCTTAGCAGCCTACATAGAGAAAGAAAGGAGAAGTACATCATGCTTGAAATAAATAACAAAATCCAACAGTTGATCTTGTGTTGTAGTAACCTCCAGCAGCAGGAGTGGTCCTACTCGTGAGGATCAAAAGATGCATGGCAATGGGTGCCTTGCACACCTTTCCTTCTGGAAAGCTGGTTCCACTCAGCAGCACCAAGCCGGCCAGTTCCCTCTGCTGCATCATGTATTTCTAGAGACTGAGAACTTGCATCCAGCACCAGCTGAGCTGCCCATTTGTACAGATCACTGTGAGTAAATAGGCACCTCAAGTTTGGTCGTTAGTTTTACCTTGTTTGCCTGACCAGATGATAATAGAAAATTCCAATTCTCAAATTTTCTAATGGAAAAAAAAAAACCCGAGAGCTTGTCTCAGTTTCATTTACTCCCCAATTCAGTATTTCCAAGCTCTCAGTGCTGTATTCTGCTACCCTCCATCAAAAGTGGCTCTTCTGGAGAGGCAGCAGCTCATTGTTACCTGTGGTTCCCAGCACACTTGATGCCTCTCTCCTGCTGATAGGTCTAACTCCAGACAGGAGCAGAGCACCAACAAGCAAACCTCCATCTGCCTTTTTGAAGACTCAGTTCAGACAACTTCAAAGTACCCCAGACTTTCAGTCTCAAGCATCAGCAGACTCTGAACATGATTCATGCTGTTTGAATCAGCCCCACGTCACTGGTTTCAAAACCTAAGGGCAACAGCTACCTCAGCTCCTGTTGCTGGAAGACACTATTAAAAAAGAATATGGGAGCTGAATCAAGAACCTCCGAAACGAAATCCAGAAGCAGTACAAGGAAAGTGGGAAATCTGCAGTCTTGTTCGGGCCCAGTGGGAGGCATCACACACACTCACAGATGGGTTGTACTGGTACCAGCCACTTGGCCTCTCTTCAATCTGCTCCTTTTATGAAGGAAGTCAGGCTGAGAAGTAACCTAAAGAGCTTTTAAATACTTCTCTCTTGTATCTAAAGGTTCAGACTCCCCAGGGTTTTTTTTTTTTTTTTTGAACACACACATTTTGTGCTAGTCTGTAGTAGCATCCTTGTGCCTGTACAAATTCACATACTTTCTATGGAAGGCACTGGATTAAAAAAAAACCAAAACAGCCCTGGAAGTAACAGCTGGTAGCCATTTACTCTCCATGGCTGAGCTGAATGTTGAACCAGGGGTATAACCACGTCCATTTCTTTATAGACTTTGGCATTTACATGAGGAGTGAAACCTAAGGAGAAAGAGCATCATCCCCCAAATATAATCTCAATTTTAAGAGTTTTAAGGGTTAAAACCTCTATGCTGGAAGCTGATTACAGTTCTCTCCAAAGAACTATTGAAGAAGTGGGCACTACTTTCACACATGTCCAGCTGTGGCTTTGAGTACAGGGAGAGGCTGTGCTTTGTGAGT